CTATGTACATAATGATTCCATTTACAAGAAATTGTAGAAAATGCAAAACTACAGTGACAGAAACAGATCAGTGATTGCCAAGGACCACAGGGGAGGGGAAAAAATGTACTATAAAGCGGCATAAAGGCAGTTTAGGTGATGGAGATATTTTATATCATTACTCAGCTGGTGGTTATACAGATGTATCCATTTTTCAAAACTCAATAAACTATACACTCAAAACAGCCTAATTCTATTGTATATAAATTATACCTTCATAAAGCTTATTTTTAATAGTTCTGTAGCAAAACATCCACATCAGAATTTTCAGACAAAAATCAGTCAGATGTCTTGCTCTGAATAGTGAGAGAGTGGAAACAAGGATTGCGGGGCCGGCCCAGTGGCGCATTGGATGAGTGCGCCGCTTGGGAAGCGCGGCGGCGCTCCCGCCCGAGGGTTCGGATCCCACATGCAGACCGGTTCCCGCTCACTGGCTGAGCGAGGCGCGGGAGTGGCACCGAGGGTTGCAGTCCCGTTGCCGGTCCCCGGTCCGGTGCGGGGGCGACACTGAGGGTTGCGATCCATTGCCGGACACGGAAAAAGACAAAAGACAAAAAAAAAAAAAAAGGATTGCAATTGGTGGTTCATATGCTGGAGCAGGGAAGATACGTACTCAAGAGTGATCCAAGACTTTTGCTTAGGGAACAGATGAAGCATAATGGGATGGCATGAGGAAGCAGCAAGTGCTGATTAGACAAACACAAAGGAATATTTAAAAATTTATTAATGTAATCCATCACCTCAACAGCTAAAGAAGAAAAACTATATAATCACATCATTAACAGCATTTGACAACATCCAATACTCATTCATGATAAAAACTGTAAGCAAACTAAAAATAGAGAACTTCCTCACCTTAATAAAGAACACCTACAAAAAACTTACAACTAATACCATACTTAATGGTGAGAAACTAAGTACTTTCCTGCCCCTACCCCTAAGATCTGAAAGAAAGCATGAATGTTCTCTCTTATCACTCCTACTAAACACTGATATTAAACACTCCTATTAAACACCTAGCAAATTCAATGACACTTAGAAAATAAAATAAAAGGTATGCAGATCAGGAAGGAAGAAATAAAACTGTCTTCATTCACAGGTGACACGATTGTGTATGTAGAAAATCCCCCCAAAATTGACAAAACCACCACCATCACCACCTCCTGGAACTATTTAGTAAGGTTGCAGTATGAAAGGTCAATATACAAAAAGTCAACTACTTTTTTATAGACTAGAAATGAGTAATTGGAATTTTAAATTAAAAACACAATACAATTTATATTAACAACAAAAAGAACAAAGTACTTAGGAAAAAAATCCAACAAGGTATGTACACAGTCTACGAGGAAAAATATAAAACTGGTAGAGAAAATCAAAGAATATCAGGTCACCAGGCCTGTCTTAAAAGAAGTGCTAACAGGTGTTCTTCAACCTGAAAGAAAAGGGTGCTAATTAGTAACACAAAAAAATCTAAAAATATAAAATTTACTGATAGTCAATGTAGGTTCATGGATTTTAACAAACATACCACTCTGGTGGGGGATATTGATAGTTGGAGGCATGGTGGGGGGAGTGGAGGAAGTATATGAAAATCTCTGTACCATCCTCCTGATTTTGCTGTGAACCTAAAACTTCTAGGGTTGCGATCCCGTTGCCAGTCCCGGTCCGGTACGGGCGCGACACTGAGGGTTGCGATCCGTTGCTGGACACGAAAAAAGACAAAAAGGAAAAAAAAAAATTAAGTCTATTTAAAAAACTCTTAAAAAATGATAAAAGTTACTGATAAAAATAAGTATGTATTCAAATTCAGAATACTTTAATACTGTAATAGTGGTGTATAAATCACTTATAGCTTTACTATGATGATTAAACTCATAAGGAAATAAAAGTTAAACAACATGTTTCTGAATAACCAATGGGCTAATGAAGAAATTAAAAGGAAAATTTAAAAATTTCTGTAGTCAAATAAAAATGGAAACAACATACTGAAGTTTATGAAATACAACAAAAGCAGTTTTAAGAGGGAAGTTTATAGGAAAAAAATGCGTACATCATAAATCAAGAAAGATCTCAAAAAAACAGCCTAACACTGCCACCTCAATAAACTAGAAAAACGAGAACAAACTAAGCCCAAAGTTAGTAGAAATAAATAATAATGATCAGAGAAGAAATAAATAAAATATATACTAGAAAAACAATAAAAAGATAAACAAAACTAGACTTGTTTTGTTTAAAAAGACAAAATCAACAAACCTTTAGCCAGACTAAGTAAAAAAAAAAAGACACAAGTAAAATCAGAAATGAAAAAGCAGACATTACAACTAATACAAAGGAAATATAAAGGATGATGAGAGACTACTATGAATAATTATACACCAAGAATAACCCAGAAGAAATGAATAAATTCCTTGACACATAAAACCAAGATTGAATTATGAAGAAACAAGAAAATCTACACAGCCAAATAACGAGTAAGCAGGTTGAATCAATAACAAAAAGTCTCCCAACAAAGAAAAGCACACGACCTGATGGTTTCACTGCTGAATTCTACCAAACATTTAAAGAACTAATACCTAAATGTCTATTAATTGATGACTGAATAAGGAAAATGTGGTATATGTACACAATGGAATACTACTAAGCCATAAAAAAGAATGAAATTCTGCCATTCTCAGCAACACAGGTGAGCCTGAAGAAAATTATGTTAAGTGAAATAAGCCTGGCACAGAAAGAGAAATACCACATGTCCTTACTCATAAGTGGAAAGAAAGAAAGCAAGAGAGGAAGGGAGGAAGGGACAGAAGGGAAGTAAGGAAGAACAACCATAATAACACGTTGACCTTACAGAAGGAGAGAACAGATCTGTGGTTACCAGAAGTGGGAAAGGAGAAACTGGGTAATGGACACAAAGAATGATGACAATTTGTAATGATGAACATACTAACAGTACTGATTTGATCATCACATACTGTACACAAATACTGATAGACAACTCTATACCCCATAAATGTGTATAATCAATTGTTTCAATTAAAAAATAAATCACTTTTTTTAAAAAAGGAACATACGCAACCCAATAGCAAAAAAAAAAAAAAAAAAAAAAAACCCCACCAAATAACCCAATTTAAAAAATGAGCAAAGAACCTGAATAGACATTTCTCAAAAGAGGTCATACAAATGGGCAATAAGTATATGGAAAAGTGCCATCACTAATTATCAGGGAAATATAAATTAAAACTACAGTGAGGTATCACCTCACCCCAGTTAGAATGGCTATTATCGAAAAGACAAAAAATAACAAGTGTTGGCAAGGAAGTGGAGAAAAGGGGACCCTTGCACGGTACTGGTAGGAATGTAAATTAGTACAGCCATTATGGAAAACGGATGGAGGTTCCTCAAAAAACAGAACTATCACATGATCCAACAATCCCAGTACTGTGAATGTATCCAAAGGAAATGAAATCAGTAGGTCAAAGAGATATCTGCAGTCCCATGTTCACTGCAGCAGTATTCACAATAGACAAGACATGGAGTCAACCTAAGTGTCTGTCAACAGATGAATGGATACAGAAAATGTGGTATATCCATACAATCGCATACTACTTACCCTTACAAAAGAATAAAATGCTGATACATTTTAACAACATGTACTAATGTTGATAAACCTCAAAAACTTCAAAAAGAAGCCAGATGCAAAAGTTCACATATTGGGATGATTCCACTTATACGAATTATCCAGAACAGGTAAACAGAGAAAGACAGAAAGTGATTGCCAGGAACCAGGGAAAGGAGGGAACATGGAACAACTGTTTAGCAGGTATGGTGTTTCCTCTTGCGTGATGAAAATGTTTTGAAACAAGATAGAGGTGATGGTTGCCCAACACTGTGAACGTACTAAATGCCACTGAATTGTATGCTTTTAAACAGTTAATTTTATGTTATGTGAATTTTAGCTTAGTTTTTAAAAAGTGAGTTGCTTATGTATTTTTAGTGTCTTGGCTAACTTGGCAGAATAATGTCGTAGTTATAAGTGCAAATGTTAGAATCAGACAGCCTAGGCTCAGATCTCAGCTTTGTCGCTTCTAGCTGAGTGACCTAAAGGAAGTAACTAATGCTCTTTGTGCCTGAGTTTATCATCCCTAAAACCAAGTTAAGAGAAGTACTTATAGGACTATAAGAATTAAATAAGTTGACACATTTGAAACAATTAGATTGATGCCCAGCATACAGTAAGCATTCAATAAATATTAGCTAAAACTATTCTTATTATGGCAATCAAAGAAAGGAATGGTTTCATATAGTGAAAGATTGAGAATTCTAAGAATTTTTTTCAAATATAACATAAATTCAGAAACTTACTTTTAATAAGCCTTACCCTAGAAGCAGACAATATAAGGGCTTAAAGTAAAGATCTGTCATTTAGCTCTAATTTCTATAAAAAGAGTACTGAGCACAGAGCCAAATGATGTGATTTTTGTGAGGTTCGTTAGGATCCCTCAGCATCATGTATGTAGTAAAGAGTAGACATCATGCTATTCCAAACGAGTAAGTGGTGAGGTATACAGTAACAACAAAAAACAAGTCAAAACTGAATAATGTGAAATGAAAAGTAGGACATGACATATCACTAAAATTCTAAAAACCCTTGAGAGAATTTGAAACTTCTCATTAAACACTTCAAAAATACTTGAAATACAAAGCAAAAACAGCAAAATGATGCTGTCAAATTTAAGTAGTTGCAAAATAGCTGCACATGTGGCACTGGGGACTACGCAACCAAGCAACCAGATGAACCAAATTCTCTTCTGCATCTAGCGGAATCAAGCCTATGAGTGGCAGAGACAAGGTATAATGACCACTCCTCTCCCCTCCTGTGTGTGCAAACACACACACAAACCTTTGAAGATTATAAGTAAAGCTACTATATAAGTAGAGGGAACTGAGTAAGTTCAACTTCTTACCCTCTTCTGCTTCATCCTCCTGGGGTGACACTGGACCCCCTCCACTAGTAGGAGTGACTGGTTCCTCCTTGTCAGATTCTCGCTGTAGACTCACGACCTCATATATTGTATCTCCAGTACTGGTATGGCCTTTTCCCTCAGACTGAGAAATACATAAAAAAAAATTTAAATATTAGAAATTTGAAGGAAATACTGAAAGATAGCATTTCAATGGTTTACTAAAAAGAATTGAAATGAAGAATAGAAGATCATGTTTGATCTACAGCATGTCTGAGGTTGAGAAAACTTTTAAAGTGCATTTTTCTTCATATGATATGCTAGTATTATTTTAACCAATACAATAAAACCTACTAGCCATTTTGAGATACTCAATTTCTTTTTTATAAGAAAAACCCAAGACACCACAAATTCTGTACAGACACAAAAGCAAGTGATGCTAGATTCTCAGAATCGACTACCTCACACCCATCAACTAATTCATGGAAGTAGATAATCTTTACCTTATAAATTTGCCTATACTCTAAATGGCAATTGTAGTGGGTTAGAAACCGTGATTCTCATTTGATTTTAGAATAAGGTTTTTAGGTAAATGCATGTATGGGGCAAAAGCCCTCGGACAGACGGCTACAACCCATAGATAGTGTGGCCAAAGCCCATCTAATCAACTCTTAATCACTGGTTAGGTATGGGACTGTATACTTTAATTATTTTAGAGATGACAGGTAGTTGTCATACTGGTTCTGTTAAGAGATTTTAAGAATTGCTAAAGGGAAAGTTGTGGAAAAGATGTTTGCTAGGGGCAAGCTGTCTGTTGGAGAAAACTAGAGATAATTGTATTTAGACTTTATAAGAGTTTAACTTTTGTTTAAGGAGAGGTCATCCTTCAGATAATAAGCCAGTTTGACCAATTTAGCTCTTTACTAATTGTACTTTGGAATGTCGCTTTAATTTACTGATGTTACTAGTTTCCATTGTTAAGCTATACTTACCCATGGACAACTTTTCTAACACTGCCCATGTCCTTATGTCCTACTTTAATGATCGAAGCCACTGATTTTTCCTGTAAAACTTCCTTGTCTTGTCAATAAAAAGAAAGGCTAATTTTGGATCGGGGGCTGCTCCCCTGATGCATGGCAGTCCCTCCAGGCCTCATTGATTGTATTTTGAGCGAATTCTTTCTTTCTCTTTTCTCCATCTCGGTTACACAGAGGAAAGTGTAACAGGCAATTTTCTTTCGGGAAGGAAAATTAAGGCAACTATAATCCAACTGCCTCGGCATGGCGTACAAAGCCCTAGATAAACTGGCCCCTACCTCTCTCTCCAGCCTCATCTCACATCCGAATTTTAGTACTACATTCCAGCCACTCTGGAAACTCTTGTTTCAGCTCATTGAACCCTCTAATCTCTTTCCCAATTCAAGGCCTTAGGATATCCTTTTCTCTCTGCCAATACAGCTTTCCTCCTACTCTTTGCTAATTCCCAGCTATTTGGAACTTTACCTCAAATTTTACTTCTATGTAAAGAGGTTTTCCAGTCACCCCCCCCCACCACACACACACCATATCTAAGTTTCCCATATTTTTGATTCTCACCATACCCTGTCCCTCCTCCTCACTGCACTTACCACGATGTAATTACACATTTATTTTTATATTTATTTGTTTAGCATCTGTCTCATCCACAAGACAGTAAGCACTGTAAGGGCAAGGACTGTATTGATTGCAATCAGAAATTATATGGTACACAAAGTAGATACTCAATAAATATATGTGGAATGAATGACTAGGCCAATGGTAAAACATATGGATTTTAGAGTCAAATAGACCTGGGTTTGAACTCAAATTTCACTATTAATCAGATGTGTGATATTGAACAAATTACTTAACTTTCCTAAGTCACAGTATCTGTATTAATAAAATGGAAGTAATGCTTCCTCCAAATTGTTAAAAAGTTTATGTATAATAATACTTTTGACATTCACCAAAGTTCCTGAAACAAATTTATTACTATTATTACTATTATGTTTATAGCACCATACTAGGCTCTAAAGGACACAAAATTAGAATACAGGCATATACAGAGACATAATTATCTCTAACATCTACCTGTATTGTGATTCATTTGTTATAAAACTATAACTATTTTAATTATTGAAGCATTCTGTTTTCAAGAATTCATTCTAACCATAGTCAAATTTCAAGTGCATCTTCTAAATCATTTCAAATGAGAGTTAAAATTGTCCACTGCATAAAAAATAGAAAAATAAAAAAGATAGCCACAAAAAATTAACTGGTTAAGTTTAAAACAACCAAATTTTTATTGCATTTCTACTATATTCAAGAAACAGAGACCTCAATCCATACAACAACCACTAAAGGAAACATACAGAAATATAATACAAATGACATACTAACAAAATATCCAACTAATCCAAAAGACAGTAGGAAAAGGGGAAAAGGGAATGAAAAACAAAACAATCAGAGAATAATAATAAAATGGTAGACCTATATTGAAATGCATCAATAATCATATTAAATATGAATGGACTAAACATACCAAGTAAAAGACAGAGATTGTCAGATTGTATTAAAAACAAGACTCTATACATTCTGTCTACCAAAGAAACCTACTTTAAATATGATATAGGCAGGTTTAAAGTAAAGTGAAGGGAAAAAACATACCATGGAAACACTAATCAAAAAAAAAGCCAAAGAGACTATATTTATATAAGACAAAGTAGATTACCAAGCAAGAAAAAAAAAAATCACCAGGGATAAAGAAGGACATTACACAATGGTAAAATAATCAATTCAACAAGAACACATAAGAATCCTGTAAGTGTATAAGCTTAACAACAGGGTCTCAATTATATGAAGCAAAAACTGATACAAGTGAAAGGAAAGAGGCAAATCCACATTTACAAGTAGAGACATCAACATTCCTCTTGCAGCAATCAATAGATAAATTATACAAAAATTAGGCAAGGTTATAGAAGAATTGAACATCATCAACCAACAGGATCGGATATTTAAACACCACTCCACCCAATAACAGCAAAATACATATTCTTTTAAACGCACATACAACATTCACCAAGATAATCCATTTCTTGGGTTACAACAGAAAATTTGAGGAAGTTTTAAAAATTGAAATCATAAAAATATATTCAGTGACCATAATACAATAATCTACATGGGTATTTTTAAAAGTTCATGGAAAAATAGAATTAAAAGATAATACAAAGAGAGTTCTGGTCAAGATGGCAGAATAGACAGTACCCAGCATCACTCTCTCCCACAAATCAACCAATTTACAACTATAAAAATGTAACAACAGCCAAGCTGGGGCTACTGGAGCTCAGGGGAAGAGGAGGAGAGACCTACATAGTTCATTAAGGCGGAGAAGCCACAATGAGAGAAAGAAAAAACTACTCAGAGAGTTTCAGGCATGGCTGCTTTAAGGCTGGGACTGCTGAGCACATACAACAGGAGACAGCAGGAGCCAGCAGAAGTCACAGCTGTGCCCTTTGGATGGAGGTGCTTGGAGGCAACAGGGGAGAAGAGGGCCTTGGTGGCCCCCAGGATAGCAAGACCACTAACAGGGTTCCTGTGGACCCACGCAGGAGAGATGAGCCAAAATAGCTGAAAAAGGGGAGCCATTCAGAGGCTGGTGAGTCATCACACAGGACCAGTGCAGGGTCTGTCCCATGGGAAGTGTTTGGAGTACAGACAGTTGGGAAGACAGGCCCACCAGGGAGACGGGCCCACTAGGAGAACACTGGGACACAGCAAGGTCAGCCTATCTGTCCCCCAATCAGGACAGGACTACTCAAAGGAGACTGGTCGGGAATACAGAATTGCATTGGGTGCAGTTTGATTAAAAGATTCAGGCCCAGATCAGAGTTTCTACACAACCCAAGTACACCCAGTCTCTGGAGAGCCAGAAGGACCTGTAAGGTCAACCTTTAAACCCTGAGCTGCACAAAAAGCCTTCCCTAGGGAAACAGCAGCAAAACAGCAATTTAGTTAAACCACAGAGCTCAAGTACTGGTCCCCACAGGATGTCTCCCAGTTTTAGAAGTAAGCAAAGGACAAAAAATTAGTTCCAGCCCAGGCACATCACCAGCGCCTCAAAGCCTGCCCAGAGGGCCCAGGGTGTCAAGCCAGGGACCAGACCGCCTGCCCACTACCATGCACACCATCAGCACCTGGGGACCAGCCTGGTGACCCAGGGCATGGAGCCGAGGACTGGCTCCCCCCTACACCCAGGCACACCACAAGCACCAAGGAGCATGACAAAATCATCACTTCCATGTGGGTGGCCCACCACAGTAACCACAGCTGCTGTGAAGGTGGCTAGATGTCACAATCACCATGCAGATGGTCCACCACCCACTGAAGAGCATTGACACAAGGAAAGTCACCAGCAGAGATCAAAGAAAAGAAGAGGATGTCTCTCTCCACAAAGCTCATTCCAGAATGACAGAAGAAGCATCAGCAGATAATATTCAGGGAGCTGAACATGGCTTTCAGCATAGGACAGATCATCTAGGCAACAAATCAACATAGTAACCATTACTCTTTCAGAAGGAGAGAAGAAATCTAGGGCTATCACTGGTGCGACAGGGGAGGGAGAGGGAGATAGGGAATGATTGGACCAGGGACAAAAAGAATAAGTACAATTTGTAACAATATCCATACTAGTAATGTTGATTTGATCAACATATGTCAACAATGAATCCCAAAAATATGTATAATTATGATTCAATAAAAATAAATAAATAAATAAGTGAAATGAGGCATCTGTGGAGTACCTGATCATAAAAAAAATAAATAATACAAAACATTTCCATGAACTTCTTGAAGTACCATCTTAGAAATAAGCAACAGAAATATATCTGAAAAATCCCCAAATACTGGAAAATAATAGAACCCACTTCTAAATAATTCATGAATAAAAGCCAAAGAGGAAAAATTGAATTAGGAAATATTTTGAACTAAATAAAAATGATAATACACCAAGTCTAAATTAGTGGAATACATATATAACAGGGCACATAGAGAAATTTAGAGGTATAAATGCTTGTATTACAAAAGAAGCATCCAAAAATCAATAATGTCACCTTCCACCTTAAGAAACTAG